TTGAGTTTATACGCGCTTTTGGTGGCATGGTGGCGGGTTGAATTACTTCAGCTTTTGAAATGGCAGTCAAAACGCGTTGGGTGATCCGCTCGGTTGCGTGATCCGCTCGCTTACCGATTACGTTATCATGTGATGGCTGAGTCAGTCATGTTTTCTCGTCCTCATTGGCAAATGATAATCAACTCGTTGGGTATCACTGGTTATATAATTAATGCCGGGTGAACGCCTTTTAGGATATACATCTCCTGTATAATTATTCAGTAGGGCGGAAGCTAATCAAAGGAGACATCAGAATGCTCTTTCGCTCGGCAGCCCAGCGCCTCTCAGCGTCCTCTCTCCCCCTCAGATCTGCCTCATCCAGTCGGAGAACCTTTACTTCCACACGGCCCGGGTTCAATGCTTCCAAAGGATCCAGTGCCTACAGAGAAGGGGTCAGTATTCCCCTTTCCTTGAACCTTCTTGGTGTCAGAGTGTCCTAGACTTTATGTCTGTATGCTTCTACATCAACTGCCCTAGAACAGACGAACCCCTCTACATGAATGCATTGCACGACTAACAAGCTAACTGAAATACCAGCTCGCCCAGTACAAGACCTTCGCGAGTCCCTTCGCCAAGGTGTTCTTAGGGGCCATTTTCACCTACCAGGTTATCTACTGGACTTGGTTGAAGCTAGAGATGGATGAATCCAAGTTCGAGAAAAATCGTAAGTTGCACTCGCTTGCTTTGCTGTCTGCTATGGTGTACCTCTAATGGCCAGTAGAAGAGGTCGCGGCTCTCGAGAAGAAAGCAAAGGAATTGACGAATGCTCAAAAGTGATGATGTCTCTCCTCCAGTGTCTTTCCTAAGGCTTTTTGTTTTGTCTGACTGTTCATTTACTGTACTATATACCTCACATGTCCCACGGAAATATCTTCAATCATCAATTGACTCTTTGATTGAGCTGATGGTATCTTCACCTAAAGGTATTCACTCATGTCTGCTTTGAGAATGACACAGTGTAACGTGAAATCATGTATAACTTGTGCTATTGTATATGACGAACATCACAGAAAGAACACTGTCCTTGATGCTGCAATCAAATGGCGGCCGCTTGGTTGTGAAAGTCCTATTCAGTTACCGAACGTGACATGACGGGCCCCCTTCGAGCTCCCTGGCTGTGGTAGCGGTATGCCTGTTCTGATTCTCCTCCTTGATTTGAATCCATCGTCTGCGTGGGACCCATAGGGAGCTACCATCGGCACAAATGTGTCAAATTTTCGTTTTTGTGAATTCCTAGGCTCGGATGAATCCTCCAGTTTAAACGACCTCTTTGAAAGAGAATTCTCCTCGCAAGAGACCATCTGCTGCGAGGTCTCCTGGTCGACAGCTATCCCATCATCGTCCAGGGCAGTGTCCGATAAGCAATCACTACAGCCGTCACCTTCATTCTCAGACTGGTCATCTGTGGCAAACGGGCTTTTATCCTCGTTTCCGCCGGCCATGCTTCTTCCCTTTGATTCGGCTCGTTCTTGGTTCTCGGTCGAATGGCAACAGTGCAGCCAGTCTCCAATCCGCTGCCCCCTGCGGAAGTGCTCGAAATCGATATGGTCGAAGCGCTCATTCCACGCTTCCCGACCCTGGCTGCGAAGAGGGATAATCTCCCTACAGAAGCCGCACCAAAATCGGGACTGTCCGTTTTCGCCCACGCGGTTATTCGCGATCGCAATTCGCACCCCTTCGTCATCGACGTGACGATGCTTCTTCAAATGCTGCACGAAGGCCTCTTGACGATAGTACAACCGCACGTATCGTTTCCCCTGCGTCGGATCGCACAAGGTACAGTACCAGCTTTGGATGTGATAATGCTGAGAGTTCTCATGCCGTTTCCAGTCCGCCTTGCTGCCGAATGTCTTGTTGCACTTTGGGAATGTGCAACCGTAGGGTCGCTCGTGGCGTTTCTGGTGTTTCCTAAGGCCAGGTGTCAGAATGAAATCGAAGAGTCGGGAAGGGGGTCAATACGGACTTCATCTCGCATCGCAAACGCGTTCGTTTCGCGCAGACTCCGCATTGGATCCAGTCTTTCTTGTCCGGTTCTGGATCGGGCACTTTCGACGTACTGTCGCGAGGTGGATCGGGCTTTTCATATAGACGGTCCAAAGCCGCAATCAATATCCGCTGGAGAATTTCCTTCTTTGGACTGCACAGCTCGGTACTAGAACCGGTCATATCGTCTACGTCGTATGCCTGCTGAGAATGCCGTCGAGGGTTGGAGTTCATCATTTTCGTCAGTGCATTGATCATATTAGTCGCAGCGTCCGCTATGAATTCTTCTATGTGCTCGTTCCTCTTGTTGTCTTGGTGCGCGATTGGCGGCTTTTGGTCTAGTGCTGAAGCCAAGTTGAGCGTGCCGAAGCTCGGCAGTTGAACTGTATCTGAAGTAGCCATGAGTGCGGTATCCACGGGTTCTTGGTCACGTTCCTGTTCGCTGGTGTCTTTGATCGGGCTCAAGACGTGATCTTCGTTCTCTGGCGATCTTGCTCTGGTGAGCTTCTCGTCCGCGACGTCGGGAACACACGGAGTCTGATTCAGATCTTCCATCACCCAGTCCGGTTCAGCCGGCAGCTGCGTTTCTGGAGTTGAGTCTTTCTCAGACATGTGGTCGACTGCAGCAAGCGGCAACTCACTCGCTTGCATGCTACTATTGTACCACTCGTGCGACCTAGATTTGCTTTAATATCACGTCGCTGAATTTTCATGGTCAAATGAAGAGAGCTAGCTCACCTCTTCAGAAGCTCATCGGCGTCTTCATCCTCGTGCATTCGCAAAAGGTGTTGACGGAAGTTGTCCAGTCGAGGCCATCTCTTATGTCTGCGGGGACAATTGCGCCCAAAACACAAGTACAGAATCTTGGGTCCGCGTTCCGGTTCTTGTTTGTGGACACATTTCTTGTGTCGCGCTAGGTCATTGATGGTTCCGAAGCCCTCCTTGCGGCTACAGTTAGGTTGATCGCATTTGAACAGCCTCCGATGTCTTGCCTCGTGTTTCCTATGCCCGTCAGTCTCAGCATGGTCTGCACGGCGCGTGGCTATCGAAAACAGACCTTTTGTCGGATGGACATTTTCCTTTCCAAATGCAGTTGGGATAGTCGCACGTAATCTCATCATCGCAAGAAGCATTGGGTGGTGCTGTTTTCTCTGCGACATCACCATAGCCTGATGGCCCCAGATCGAACGTTGACATTCCATCGTCCAGTTCATGCTCATGCGCTGCCAAATAAGGACTGCAAGCCGAGTCTACCGCGAAGGAAGACGCAGCTATCGAGCGCGTGGTACAGCTTCGACTGCCGTATCCTGAATCACCCGATGCAAGCCCGTTGTACTGGCTGTCATTTTCCGAGGGGGTGCTGTACTGCCCGGTGGAGCACCTGCGGTCAATGTAGTCATTGATCTGGTAGGGTTTTCCCATGGGCTGGAGATTGAAAGCCGACGGGTTGAACGGGACTCCAGTCACCTGGAGCGGATTCCAAGCATCCTGACGATGCAACAGCTGAGGCGTATGGTACTGGTGGTAGTCCAAGTAGTTCGGAGCCGGCGACAGCGACGAGGGCGACGCGTGATTGCTGCCATATGGCAGCCAAGGATGGAGTATGGAGGAATGTTCATGAGGGAGAACAGCCGGGTCGGCGCCGAATTGAATACCAAGAAAAGAGGCCGGGTCGCCTAACGCGATGTGAGAGGAAGCTGTCGAGCCATCTATCGGGTGATCGCCAGGCGAAGAATTCGGCATTATCCGAGTCCCCATGATGCCCTGCAGGACATCACTGGAATTGTCCCATTTGGGTTTACTAGAATTTGAAGCCTGGATGTCATTCGACACATAGTCAGCCTGTCTGTTTTATTTTCTTTTTCGTTAGATGTTCTCCTTGTATTGAGAAGTGAAATGGCTCGTTCAAAAAGAGGGCATGATTACATACGCTCATAGCTGCGAAGACGGACAGAATCACCCTATCGGGAAGATGGACCGAGCGACGGGGTTCAAAGAGTCCAGCCACTCAAGCTGACAGTCTCAAAGACCGTGTCACGCTGGGTCTTAGCGAGAGTTCATATAGATAGTAGGAAGTGGAGCATAGGGAGACCGAGAGCTGAAGAATACAGATGCAGGGGGGAAACACCAGACTGCGCTATTTTCTGACCCTTTTCGAAATGATCATCTGAGCTAACGATGAGGGAGAATTGGCACGGACTAGTGGAGTAGATGAAGGGAAAATGGAAGTGCCTGGATACTGTAGTATCGTTGTCGGTGTGGATTGGAATGGATATACGAGGAGTATCTGTTAAAGGCTTAAAGTCTAGCAATAGCAAGAAGCCAAAAAAAAAAAAGAAGGAAGACTAAGTCGAGAGAGGCGAAATCGGTCAACGACCGCAATAAATCGGGAATAGAAGATGAGAGGGACAGGAGGATAAGTGAATCACACTTGGGCTGAATTGATTGATGCGGCACAGGAAAAAGAAACGTGATAGTTGATGCAGTCGAATGTCACTGAGCAACACGGATTGGAAGACAAGGAGAGGGTGAAAGAGTACCACACGCGACGACAAGAGAGAGAGAGGAGAGAGAGAAGACGCAAAGGAAACCAGAAAAAAGATCATCAATCAAAGAAGGCTGTCGACTGTCGAGATTCGGTGTTTAATATGACACCCATTTCACCCGATGTCTATCCCTGTACTGATGCTAGTGCTGTAGCCTGTATGGATCAGAGAATCCATCAACACCTGAGATGCAGCAAATCTCAATCTGCAGGAAAAGATGAAGATCAGTTGGGATTCAAGAATGATGGATTGATCGTTGATGAATGATGATCAACCTCCTCCCTGTCATTTCCCACATGGTCGAGCCATTATTTAGGCACAAAGAGGCACCATGTCGTGCCAGGAATGATGGAATGTGCCCTTATTCGCAGGAACAATCCAACTGAGATTCACTGCGAATAAAATAAAATAAAATACATTCAGGAATCAGAACTGCCACATAAACTTCGTCATCTGCATTCCTTTCCTCGCTGCTCGAATACTTCGTTATCGACTACTGCTTACGGCTGGAGAGAGAACGCGTCCTGGCTACGTCAGGCTGTAAGGTGAAGGAGAGATCAGCACGCCAACTCCCAACATGACCAATGGTTGGAAGATAGATCAATGGCCAGATGCTCCCTGCATACATACTGCCCTACAAATTGAAGAGGATCTAATGCAGATGCCAAGAACAAAGAAAAAAGAATGAGTTGACCTGATGGTGGCAGTGCCGGTAAGGGCTTGCATTGACTTTCTACTGTTGGCATGATCATCCTCATTATCTTGACGCAGAACTAGAAGGCTCACCTGCAATCCATGGCACGTCCGGACACATCCTACTTCATCCCTCGCAGATCGGATCTACTCACCGACGGAGCAGTGTATCTCAAACTGTCAATAAGGTCGCTAATGACAGGTACTCAGACCAGCTGTGGCCTCACTTTTTCGAGATCTTCTTTTGACTCGTCAAATCTCGACTGACATTCATTCCTGACAGACTATCAACCGACCCACAACCCGATATGGCGAAGAAGTCCTATGGAGAACTTCCAGGTAGTACTAAGGAGAGAAGCTTGTGTTATACATATATGAATCTGGTGAAAATATCCCATCCTGCCCCAATTCAAACGCCAAAACATCGGCAATCCAAATTCTTTCCAGATCATTCGGCTACAGGAAAGGCCAAAAAAGACACTCAAGAGAAGACAATGACCGTACAGTATCGTCGGGGGGGCTTCCACCGACTTTCGTCAATCTCATCAACAAATCGAAAGGGCAAAGAGAACGCAATCTCACTAAGATAATTAAGATCCCTTTCCTAAATACGGTCGAATGCTAACATGGTACGGTCGGGGTATCATGCACCAAAAATAAAGAAGAGAAGATGGAGAAAGGAGAAAGGAGAAAGGAAGGCCAAGGATTCAAATTTCAAAGTGCATATTTTTGAATCCAGCACAGCGGATGATCATCGTTGGCTTAAAATTGCTGGGAATAACCCACGGAGCCATCGTATGAATACGATGTGGCTTGCGTGATCTGGCCCTGGTAGGCCTGGTCGTTCTCCACCGGAGGGGGTGACATATGCAGTGTGCCCTGAGGATCATACGTCGCGTGCATCTCCGTGGGTGAGGTGCACAGCTGATACGGATTCCGCAACACACTCAGCTCCTGAGTCGTCATTCTGGGTCGCGGCCCGACGTTCAGCAGGGGCGGGTAGGTGACAGAGTTCTGATGAACAGGCACGAAATGTTGCCCCGCGAGATCCGCCTGGGATCCGTATGCAGCGTACGCGTTCAATGACTCTGGTTCAGCCGATAGAAACCCTTGATGCAGGGTTGTGGAGGTCGGTGGGTAAGTGGGATTCAAAAATCCAGCAGGGGGCTCGGAACCTCCGGCTTCAAAGTTCATTGGCGCGTCCGATTCGACTTTGATGCTATTCAGATCAGGTGAAAAGGTGGTGGCTTCGTGCGCGGCCGGGCCAGGGTAACTGACTGCTTTTGGGGCAACGCCGCCAGCATCTACGTGGGAAGACAAATGTCGTTCTTGCACTAGCGCCAGAACAGGCATGGCAATCTGCTCCATGTGCTTGGCCAGATGAACGGTGAGTTTTTTCCAGCTGCTGCAGACGTTACCGCAGAAGCGGCAGGGTTCCTCCCGCGGTCCCTTGGAGGTATCATGACGACACTGTTCCACGAGCTCCCACAACTGCTCAACTTCTCGCTCACGACTGCTTTCTTCTTCGTGTGCTCCAAATGCGACCGGGTCCTGTCGGTTGCTGGCGCCCACGCCTTTCGTCTTCGTCTTCTTGATCTTGGGCTCGGGCATCTTATGCTCTCGGACGAGATGCTGTACGAAATTGTCCTTGCGGTAACATGTGTGATGGCAATCAGGAACGGTGCAAGTCCACCATTCAAGTTTCCTGTGCCGTTCGCTCTCATGTCTGACCCAGTCCGCCTTTCGCTTGAACGACTTGGGCTCGTTACAGTGCGGGAATGTGCAAGTAAACGGCTGCACATCTTCGTGGACATGCTTCGTCCAGTCGGAGGGCTTCTGGAACTTTTTCACCTTGAAACATATGGGGCACTCGAATTCGGCCGGAAGTCGCTTCACAGGCGGTAATGGGACGCCTGGAGGAAACTGCGCCGCTGTTACAGCATTCTCTCCAAGCGCGGGAGGTTCATCATTCGGTCCGCCGTGCCGGGTGATCTGGAACTGGGTATGTGCACCTTCGGAGTCATGGGCTCCAGCGCGCGCGGCCAGTATCACGGCTTCACCTCCCTGTGCGAAGCAGAATTTACCCGCCGAGCAGGTTTTCTTGCTGACGGCATGAGTATGGTTCATTTTATGCTCAACCAACTTCTTGTATCTGCGAACCTGCTCGTTCGCGAGACGGTCGATCAGTGCAGGATCCAGACGAGGATTCAGCTGTGTGATCTGGGCCTTGAACCCTTCCATTGTAGGCACAGGTAGACGGGCGAGAACCGGAAAGTCCATCACCAACCCTTTCTCCTCGGGCATATCGTCGTCTTCCTCGCCGTCATCTCCCGTTTCAACAGGTTGGCCTGACGCCGCCTGCTGGAGACCATGATTGTCAGTCGTCAAGGTTCGTGAGTAGCCAATGGTGGGAACTGGCGGGCCTCCGTGACTGGTCATCAAGTCTATCAGACCCGGTGCAGGACACCGCGATATTTCACTCCGACTGCGCGTCCGGCCAAACTTGTTCCACGGATTAGACGTTGATTGTGGGGAGACGGCGCTCAGGGAGTCTCTGCCTCCAATGGCCGCCATCTGGCCGGCAATCGCAATGACGGCACCACCTGTACTAAGGCCGGGAGACTTTGGGCTTCGCCCAAGGCTGAGTTTCCGGTGCGGGAAACTATCCTTTCTGGAAGGCAGGCCTTTGACCTCATTGTCCTTGGTGGGGGTTTGAACGTTAGGCTGGATTAGGGACAAGTCTGACAGCGGTCTCTTTAATGCACTGATTGATGTTTTTCGTGGGAAGAACTTCCTTAGGCTACTCCGCCTTGCGTGTTTCTTGCTCGAGTCCTGGCTGATAGACAAGTTGGCAAATGAACCCCCCGCACCAATGATACTATTCACTTCCACTTCACTCATAGGCCGCGTACCCCAGGTTGCATAACGTGACACGGCATCTATTTCTCGAGCGCGTCGTTGGTATTCCACCATAGCGGCGCTGGCGGTTGATGGCTGCATCTGAATTGATCTGGGAGTAGCGTCGTGAACCGGGTCCTGCCATGGGCGAGTTGCCAGAAATTGATGTGGTGCCGGCTCTCCGTCCGCGGGGTTGGGCTGGTCCTGCTTGGGCGAAACCGCAAGATCTTCTTGAGTCCATCTCACTTCATTGACACTGGCTGCGAGCGATCCCGAATCGCTTGCTTCGGCCTCAGAGCCATTGCCACTGAGCTCCTCGTCGCTGCTCTCATGGATCAAAGCACCGGGTCCAGGAATGGCCGGCCCGTAAGTTCCCAATTGCAGGTTGAAGTAGTCCTGTTGTGGCGCTGGGTCTCCGGCGCTCCTCGCCCTGCGTCGTGTGCCAGCTGGTACTTTGCGGCCGCGGGTAGGAGGGCTGTCGTCTCCATTTTCGCTATTGGCGACGCTTACCGTAGCCGACCATGACCGGATATCCGCGTTCTTCTCTTCAAGCCGTCGCTGTGATTCTACTTCATTGGGACTGAGGATATATGTGTCATCGCGTGATGTAGGGGCGACACCGGCCTGGCCAGTAGCGCCATCGGGAAGCCAGGAGCCATCGTGCGCGCGTGCGATCGCTTGTTGAGAAGTCTGCCATGAGGCATTTTGATTCCCATCCTCTGATTCTCCGCCGGGCGAAAGGTGTGTGGAAGACTGGCTCGGCCGCCGTCCGATGGAAAATGTCTCTCTGACTGGGGAATCACCGCGCGAGTAGCTTTCGATCATAACAATTGGGCTTCTTGCTCTGGCAGCATCTGACGAAGGATGGACATTCAGGCTGTTGTTCAAGGGAGCCGTGACTATGGTAAGCATCTGCCCCGCATGCGATTGGGATTCATTGTTTCTTTGATTGGTCAAGTCGGACGCAGGACTCGGGTGGTTGGTCCGGTCCGGGGTTAGGAGCTGGGAGGTGACCATGGTTGGCTGAGAGAGGGCCACCGATTCCGACTCCACGGATCGAGACTCATCAGGTACAGCCATGTAGGATGCATTCATATTATGTGGCCATGCGTTGAGATATGAGTGCAATTCCATATTAATACTTCCCGGTGGATTATCGCCGTTTGGCGATGCATGGGCACTCAGGTCACTCGAAAAGTCCTCGACGGGACTCAAAAAATCCGAATAGGAGGTCGTGTAGTCTGTCGTATGAAACGAAGCTGTTTCAGCACCCTGCGCGGAATCGCTGTTCGGGTGGTGATTGTAAGGAGAGGCCGAGACCTCACGCTGGTCCTGCTGGCCCGGCTCTGGGGTCAATCTGATGCCGGAAGATTCGAAAACATCTTGCTCAGGGTCCAACGGAGCGGAAAGATAGGGATCTGAGAATTTTGAGTTTGGAAACCCCATGTCGGTCGGGGATTCGCTGCGGACCAGCTGGGGAGATAGCGCCGACATGGTTGCGGTGGTAGAATTGTGCTTCGCAGAGACCTTTCTCGCTTCCTGGTTGATCATAAAGTCAACAAGATCCGAGATGACGCTCTCCGGTAAAGCATGTCTGGATTCATTGAAAGTCAACTTTGACGGTCATTGCAAGGACGACGCAGGGAAGCAGTAGTAAGGAGTACCTTATACAATAAGTCCAAGCAGAATTGAAAATTGAACGAGCGGGATCAGGAGTTGCTCTTTCTATGTAGTAGCAAGTGTATTACAAGACAAGCCACTTCGATAGTTAAAATTGTAGTACTGTATGTAGGTTGGTTCAGTCGCAGGAACGTGGAGACTGGAGAATGATTCGCTGCTCAGGTCAAACGAAGGCAGGACCGAACTATCAGTAAAGGACGACAATGCGGGAAAGCGAAGAATGAGTAAAGGTCAAGCAAAGGAGAAGAAGTGAGTGGAGTCGTAGAAGAAAAAGTAGCATGAAGCTAGAGGGGCAGAGAGTCAAGTCACTCTGTGCCTGGAAGAGGCTCTGCTCAGCTGCCGCAGCCGGGGGGGGAAGAGAGTGGTGGAGGGGAAGTCAGGAGGAGAGTAGATAAAGGATTGCGAGTAAAACAAGTTAATAATAACCTTGGAGGGAAGAACAGACACAGAGGCTAGATGACTGACATAATAGGTAATAATAATTATACGTAGTTATTATGATCTGATGGTTATTACCCTGGTGTATCTGTTGTAGCCACACTTTTTCCCTGGTCAGGAAGAAAGCCTTGCGGCTGAGAGGAGGAAATTCCTCGACGACTGAGCCACAGCTGGCACACGATACTTCCTGCAAAGTACTCCGTAGTATCTAACCTCTCAAGAGATTATAATTAGCACTTTCAACGCATCATGCAGCAATCTGGACGATAAGACGAAGGAGCCAAGAGCATTGTATTATTAGTATTAATATGGCAGGTCTTTGGTAACTGTTTTCGCCCTCGCAGGAAGCCAAATGACGCCGGCGTCAGACTTTCGGCGCATCGTCGACCAGTAAGAGCAAAGCGGGGTATTATTAGGAGGACTGTGTATTTATTTGGGGGCACTTGAGTGTCGTTGAAGGGTTGAACAAGTATTCATTATTCTGCCTTATATCATAGGCAGGACGCTTATTATAATACGCAGATACTTGCAAAGGTGTATATATACGCGGTGGAGGGGTACCTATTTACTACTATCTACTCCCTAAATGTGCGCAGTCATGGAGGTACGGTAATATCTTAGGTTGTCTTGGCGAACTGGGATATGGCCTGGGATCTCAGACTCTAACTGCCTGGACCTGGTACTGATCAACTGCTTGAACTGCATCTTGCTGATCGATATTTCATTCTGTGCATCTAGCAGACTGGACCAAACTCATGGAACGATTATTTGTTGCGATCCAAGACTCAAGCGGGAACTCCTGGGTCTTCCCATGGGTCGGCAGCATCCTTATTTAATCTCCACCGCTGATGCTCCACCGACACAAGGATAGCCTGGAGCAGACAGAGAAGTTTAACATCCACAGAGGTGAGGATCAGTGAAACTGACCCCTGCATTGCTCCCTAGAACTAGTGATACTACAATTTGAAGTCAGAACTACTTTCATGGTTCGATAATCCACCCACGGAAAAGCCTAAGTATCGTCCTACCTATTTATAACCTACCTATGTCTGGAGGTCCCAATGTATGCCTGAGGTGTCAATATCATGCCAGTCAGCCCTGCCTGAGGCTGTGCAATATGCACCCATCTTTCTCCCATCACCATCGCCTTCTGCCCCCTCTAAGCCTCATTTCGCCAAACTTCGAAGAAGAAGAACGTTGCTCACCATGCAGTAGTCACTGGCCGAGCCTCCAGATTCCAGATCCCGATAATATCACTGTCATCCAGGAACCTCCTCAGTCTGATCGAGCCCATGGCTCCCACTCTCAGGCCCTTGATTAAAGCTACGCATAGACACTTGAAGCTGCAAACAAGCATTGAAGTCAAAACAAGCTTTTGGTTCATTGAGACAAGTAACCAGACCCTTCTTGCCTAGTTGTCCCACTAATAATCGGCGCTGAGCCTCTGACATCACAATGAGTGGCGGTGCTGAGCTCTGAAACGACGACCACCTCACACCTCATTCCGGGCAATAGTAAGATTGCTCTTGACTGAGACGCTCAGAGCAGCCTTGGAGGGAGTCTATATCTTCATTTTCGTGGACATGAGCAGAAGGAAAACGCAGTGACATGTATTTAGAGATTTGGAAGCTTTTGAAACCCTATACTCCGTGATACACAGGCAGACTATCTGACAACAGAATAAATAAGCGTTCCCTGATAAAAGCCAGGTGTACATCTCTCAGACCAAAGAACAACCATGCTCACAAATACTATCATAAAAAAAGGTCTGCTCCTCCGCAGGCAATCATGCGTATCTCAATCCACGGAATCAGTGGAGTTACAAAGTCGAGTTAAGACAAGAGGGTGGATATACCCGAAATAGTCAAAAAAGAGAAAGAGAAGAGACAAAATACAAAAATAATGAGCAAGGAAGAGGTAGGAATGCAGGGAATCTCTCCATCAACCAGGAGGCAGAGAAAGCCAGAAGAAACTGAAACCGAACGATGGTCAGAACAAAGGGAATTAAAACGAATGAAGGTAGGGGAGCAATAAGCTCCAGTAATCCAGAAGATGACAACATGGAAAACAATGGTCAAGCGAAGAATAAAGACAAGAACAGAAGAAAAGAAAGTAGAATCACACCCGAAGGAAAAAAAACATCAGACATAAACAAATTTCTCGATCAGCAGCATCGGCTCAAATATCTAGAGCTCCATGCCCTCAAAATTCATCACACATGCACGACATTATCACCTTCAACAACTCTATGATACGAGCAGTTATCCTTGTGCAGTGACTTCCACCGAGCGGAGTGATCCTCTTGAGCCACGACGCGGCGAGTCCTCTCCACTGGCCAGTGTTTCGGTCGACTTCTTCGCAAGTTCCTGAAGACGCGCCATCACAACCGGCGAGTCAGAATACAAGACAGTCCCTCTTGAGTACGTGCAAGGACTGGCCTTTTCCTCATCCTCGGCGAAATCCTCGTGTGCAGCCTCCCGGGTAATCTGAGGGAAAGTCCGCAAGACGACATGTCGACTGGGGTCGTTCCTGGGACTGGCGCTGCCCTCTTTCGGGGTCCCGTATTCGCCCCAGCCATCATTAGAAACGCCTTCGGCATCCGGAGCCGGAAGGCTAGCCAGAATCAGTTCTCGTTCTACACGAGCCAGTCTCCAGGTCTCGGCCGCGAGTTTAACAATTTTGCGCACACCGATGAGCAGGGAATCGAGATGTCGTGGGTCGGCGAAGTGTTTGAGATGATCGATGATTTCGTCGACAATCACCGCGGCCACGACGTTGATCGACTGTTTCGCGTCCGATGTTGTATATGCTGCCTTCAGTGTCTGCTGCCTCCAGAATGCTTCCCGTCTGACGGACTTGCGGCGAATATCCATTGAAAGCATCTGGAAGAAAGTGTCCGCCTTGTCGTATCGCCTGCCCAGAGTGAACAAAAACGGCTGGAAGATCCGGTAGGTCAAAGTCTTTGAGATGACATGCTGTACATATGCTGAACGCAGTTCCCGCGACGCTGGCGTATTATCAAGGAACGACGGTAGCTCCGGAGGTATCTTAGACAAGATGTCCTTGGGAGGATCAATCGGCAGGTACGTGAAATGCTCCTTGGACAAGGAAACGATAAGACGAGAGAGCTGGTCGAAACAGTCCAAACTAGATTTGAGATTCTTATCAGAACAGGTACATTTATAGCGTTATCGACATCTCATCGTGATCATTCTATAGACGAAACAATAGAGACAAAGAAAGCGTCAAGAGACATGTATATGCGCTGAAAAGATATCGACAAAGGGAAGAAGAAGAGACATAAAAGAGCGTGGAGTTTCAGTCTGGTCGAAAGAAGAAGAAATAGTGATAGAAATGAAGACGAAAGAAGAGCCAAAAGAGAGAATATGGACAGAAAGTAAATATCAATAGATGAAAAGACAGTCTGGCGCTGATGAGATGATGTCTCAATGCACTAGGTCACTTACAAGAATGAGTCTCCCTTGGTGCTCTTGAGATCAGTTGCTTCTCCAAGACTGTGGAGTGTCTTCCTCAGCCTTTCGCAATCCTTGCCCAAATTGTCAATCGTGGTGCGCATCCCCTCAACTGCACGTTCAAGCTGTTGCTCCTTCAGCAGATTGTCTTCCTCCAGCTTCTTGTTCTCGCGCTCGCAGTTGGCCAGCTCTTCACACTTCTCGGAAATCCGAGCCTCCAAGTCAGTGCGTTCTTCAGTCCAGCGCTGTTCCTTTTGATCCAGCTCCTCCTGCTTCTCATCGAGTGCGTTCTTCGTGGAGTTTAATTCAGTCTGAGTCGACTCCAACTCCGCAACCTTGGCGTCAAGCTCGGTCTTGGTCGACTCCAATTCGGTGACTTTGGATCCAAGCTCCTCCTTCGTAGAGGCCAGTTCGACTTCCTTCGATTCCAGTTCAGTCACTTTGGAGTCGAACTCGGACTGCAGGGCATCGTGCAATTCCTGTATTTGTTGTTTCTCCCTCTCGTATTCTGCCTTCATCGCCTCTTGCTGGTCGAGTAATTCCTTCTCCCGAGCCTCCAAAGCTTCCGCCGCAGCTTTCTCGTCTTCGGCCTTGATTTCCTCGAATAGCTCAGTCAACTCTTGCTTCTGATTTGCAAGAGCTTCGGCCCTCTCCTCCTTCTGACGTTCCAATTCCTGCTCGTGCGCCTCCCGCGCTTCTTGGATGTTCGTGTTCAGAGCGGCGATCTGCCCTTCCAGTTCGGATTTCGTTTGCAAAAGCTCCTGGTTGGACTTTTCCGAGTCCGCGAGGCTCTCTTCAATGTCCTTCCTCTTCTCCTCGAGGTTGCCTAGTTCCATTCTGAGTTCGTTTATGGTATTCTTCAATTTCGTTGCTTCCTCTGCACTCTCGTTCGCTGCCTTTCTCATCTGATTCTGCAGCGCTTCGATGTAGAAGTCCTTGTGCATCAATTCCTGTTCATGCTGACTTTCCATTTGCTTAAATTCAGCCTCTCGGGCTACAAGCTTGCTTTTTGTGTTCTTGTACCCACTGAGCAAGCGGTTGATGTCCGGGATAGCATCTTGGATTCGTTGCAGAAGCTCAACAGGCTCGTCGTGCTCCTGAGGGGGTGAAATGGTCCCCCTGTCATTCACACCGTGCCCATTTGGCAACCCCATATCACGGAGGGCTTGGAAAGTCGACGCATAGTGAGGATCTATTGAGCCGCGAGGGGTCGGATGCATATTTGGAGAAGGCTGGTGATAGTAAGGAGCATAAGGAGGCAGGTAACCGGCAGAACTCAAGACAGGTGATTGATAAGCGGTGGCATAGCCAGGAGCGATTGAGTGAGGCGCGCTGGGAACTGGCGGGGGAGGTCCTAACGGCGTAGCGTGTGGCGAAATCGCTGGAGACATGTAGGCACGAGCAAGCGGGCTGCTGACCTTTGCAACGGGAGAGGCCGGCTTCGAGGCATATTTTTGCGCGGGAGACGCTGGCTTCGCCATGGGGGAGGCAATCCGTTGAGTCGGAAAAGCAGTAGGGTAGACGGGCGAGGCGGCTCTATACTGAGACGATGCAGACTGTGGAATGGGCGAAGATGGCTTTGATGCAGGCGAAGCTGTATGAAACGCAGGAGAGGCAGGTTGATTGACAGGAGATGCACTATGTTGCGCAGGTGATGCCGGTTCTGGGGCAGGCGAGGCAGTCCGGAAAACAGACGAAAATGCTTCCGGTTCGGTAGATGCTGCTACAGGTGCAGGAGATACGGGTCGTGAGGACGAAGCAGGGTCCAGTGCTGGCAAAATGGCTTGGTCCGCAGGTGGATTGAGCTCTTGTTGAGGATGAGGGAAATCGACTTCGGCTTCTGAGGAAGGATTTGGCGCCAATGAAGCGGGATTCGAGCGAGGAGACGCCGCTATGTACTGAGTTTCCGTCAGAGACGGTGACGGCAACGGAAATGAAGAAGCTGCTGCTGCTTCGGGAAACATGGGGGTCTGAGGTGCTGTGACTGGGGTCGGCTCTGGGGGCTCTGCAGCGTCACTCTGCCCACTTAGACCGTCGTTTGGCTCAGGGTTCGTCTCAACAGCCTCCACCAGAGGGTCCGGTGCCGCTAATTCCTCCAGAATGGACTCGTGAGTCGCTTCAAAGATGTTCTGCACATCGTTCAATGCCTGCGGCTGACTCGAGAAACCGTCTTTGTCCAAGTTCGTCGATGACTGAGGGACTTCCCAGTTTTCAACCACAGCCGAGGCTGTCTCTGCAACAGGTTGAGGGTGCTCCAGTTCTGGTACTTGTTCCGGGCCCTGTCCGTATTCTGGGGCAGGTTCCGGGACAGACTGCAGAAGAAGATTTGATTCCGGTTCGTGAATTTCGGCTAGCTGAGGTTCGCCTTCGACCTCAGCTTGTGGCTGCTGATCTTCTTGCTCGGAAGGAGGCTCGACGTCGACCTCCGGTTGCGGCTGTTGATCTTGCTGCTCGACGGAAGGGGGTTCAGAGGGGTTTTCAGACGCTTCTTGGTTCTTCCCCTTCTTATTCTTTTGCTTCCCTCCGGGTTTGCCTTTGCTCTTCTTGCCTGACCCCGCCATTGTGGTAGAGTGAGGCGTGGCCGAGTGCGAACTGTGGAAGAAGACGTGTTCCCAGTAGGTTGGTTTCTGATGTAGTAGCGATAAGTGTGTCAGCACGTACTCGATTGGGTCGCTGCTGCTTCAGAACTGTACATTTGCAAGCGCGTTCGGCGGGGGTCTTAAGATATACACTGACTTGATATGGAAACAGAAAGCTATAGGTCGGAGTTGATCAATCAGAAGAAGGAAGGCGAGCGATCAACGATCAGGCGACTATGGGAGTGATGTAAAAATAAGCATGCATTCGGGGAGAAAAGAGATGAATTCCTAGGCGCAGTAAAGGCACGCGGTGGGCACAAATAGTTGGGCCACACGAAGACAGTATCACACGGTGTCAGGAGTTTGTTCCGCAAGCAAGCAGACTATTTTGGAAACCAAGTCTGATGCCTACTGCGCTGTGTTTGGAGCAACTGAAATGCGTGGGACAAGATATCAATGAGGAAAGGAGTCAGAGAGGAGATCAGGCCAGCTAATAACCCTGTCTTGAATCAAGCCCAAAACGACGCAGTTGCACACGAGAAGGATGTCAACCAGCCTCTCTGAGGCTGGACGAGGCAGAAAGCGGACCGAACCTTAGTCCAATACTAAATCAGTATCCATATTCCATGGGTCCTTCGAGTCGCACCAGTACTGGTAGTTAGGCGAACTCAACACCGCCGTTCTGGGTGTTAAACCGGTAATTGTAATAATTGTAATTTGTAAGGAATGGGTCCGAATCCATCGGTTCCCTACCTGCATGACCGGACGATCTTGGTGCAGGTGAAAGGCGTTGGGCATCAAAATGAGACTGCATCTTCCGGAGTGGCAGGATCAATCATGAGCTAGAATGGCACCTCGGAAGGGTGCAATTTGAACCAATTGAGAGAAAAACAAAAAAAAATTGTCAAAGCTCACACGCGACACACGGTGGACTAGAGACCAGTTGGATTTTGTCCTTGAGTGCTTCATTTTTGCCCATGGTGAAACTGCAAACAGGCGTGTCCTGCAGGTAGCTGCCTGTACAGTCTGTACTCGAGAGACCAAGAGGCAGGGAACAGGATGTGGGGTTTCCACGCTAGAGACAACTGGAGAATGAAGATCGATGACATGTCCCCTTTGATATCCAGACGTTTTGAAGCCTGTCTTTATTAGCAACAGGGAGAGTCCAATGACATTCGGCCCGATGGGAGCAGTGGGGAGCGCCAGTGTAAATGTGAGGCAGTTAGTTACTCAGTTAGCATCTCCAAGCGAAGCATCGACAATCCAGTACTTAGCAGCACCACCTATTGCGGTGTGTACTTCAGAGTAGCCATTGTGAATGCGACAACGCAGAGACCCGCCTTTTTGATGTGTATGGAGCAGAAGTCAGTATGATAGGTTCGAAATCTTGGAGCTAGAATAATCCTGAAGCGTAGCCTGAATGGATTAGTTCATTGCAGCACGTGTTCTGTGCCTGTGAGATGTAACGATCCGCTTTCTTGGGAGGCCGTATCTAAACATATCCAGGCGGTCGAGGTGGCTGGGCATAGATAACCGTTGATTCGAGCGACGAAGAAGACAAAAATACTCGCTTTGAGCCTTGGTTCATCGGTTGTTGGGTATGAGAAGGAATGAGTTGTTGTTGTTTTTTATTAGCATCCTCTGATTATCCATGCCCAAGTACTCCGTACCGGTGATGACTACTCCGTACCTAGGATAGGCTGTACTATCCATGAAACTCACTTGATGCCAGATAGGTTTAGCTCTAGGGCCCAAGATTAGGGCATCAGATTCCTGCTTCATGAGAGGTACAACAGAACAGGAGAACAGTAAGCGAATATCAAGGCTAAGCATTGGGAAGAGGCCAAACTACCTTGTCTTTAAGGAGTACGCGATCTTGATTGAGAATATTCGAACAGTCTGGTTACTTAGCAGATGACCAGGTAGAAAAATGTGGCAAAAAGTCAAAAAATGGTCCCTACGAGGGTCGAACTCGCGACCTTGGCGTTATTAGCACCACGCTCTAACCGACTGAGCTAAAGGACCAGCTTGATGGAGATACTCATCATCTATTGACATATAAGGCTAATAAGAGTTCAAAAGGGTGCAAGGCTAAATATGGCCTTGGCCAGAAGAGAAGCTTCTAAGAGCCGAGAATAATGAGATAAGGGCTCAGTTCTCCCAGCGGCTGCGAGGCTAATGTGATATGGATTTTTCCAACATATTATCATAGAAGCCAATAGAGCAATCGAGGAGGTCGATAGATAGGTCCTGATGTATTGACCTAGTATGCCTATTGTTTGTGCCATGGTTGAACTTTGACGGTTTCCAGTGTACATTCATCAAAAATAGCGACAGAACTGGAAAGACTGGGGAAATCCTGACGTCGTTGTGACCAGTTCTTGAATAATAGCGACATCGTAGGCTATTTCGACGCCGCCCCAAGTCCTTTCGAACAGCCTCCTTGGACCAATATTGGCACAAGATTACGGAGTAGGTATCCGGCATTAACACTGTAACCTCAGCAATTGGGCGAAAGATTGTCAAATTATATCCGCCCGAAAACTCATGTCGAGCGAATAATATTCCCGTACTCTTCTTCCTTCAGTATATGCCTAGTAGACATTGGAGATTTCGTTGTTCTCAGCTATCGAGTTATCAGTAGACTTTGTTGCGCTAAGCTTAGAAGGTAGGGTCATGTGATGTCCGCCGAACCGCCCTCGCGCTGCTTTCAACCTCAAATCATCCGGCGACGGCATCATCGTCATTAATCGGCATTGCCAATTGTCTTCCTTCACAACATGTCTTTTGCCAGACAATCAGTCGCTTCGGCGCGGCAGCTGCTGCGCAATCAGCAGCCTCGTCGCTTTGCGTCTCATACCGCTCATGCCGAGCCTGTGAACGAGAGCTTCGGCGTACGTTTGATCTCCCTACAACAGAAATCCTCCTCATCGCTGACCGACCTCCTTGATCTCTACAGCGCAGCTTCTACGTTACCTTCGGTGCTTTCGCCTCCGCCTACGTTCTTTACCGCCTGAGCAAGTCCAATGAGGAATCAGGCTCGCAATCGTGGATTTCCAACCTCATCGGAAAGTGGACTCCCTCGGAGAAGGTGTTTGAGGAGAGGAACGCCATTCACACAGTACTTATGGAGAAGGCCGCTCATGATCGCCACCTGCTCCAGTCTCAGGGTCCTAGAGCCACTTTCGAATTGAAGCAGCCCGAGTACGTTCATATAGTTCCCTGTGTCCCGCTCAGGCACGAGCTAACGCATGGATTTCTGCATTTTCTAGAGTCAGCTTCAATACATCTCCTCCTTACAATGTCCCTGCTGGCTTGTCCGTGGACCTGAGTGCTGTAGTTGCTCATTACGAGCAGCAGAACAAGCAGATGGAAGAGTCCCGCGTCGCTCGGATGAAGGACGGCAAGGTTGTGTCTCTATATGACTAGACAAAATTGACTCTTAGTCCAATTTCCTTTTCAAGCAATGTCGGTGGTAGACATGACTAGGGGGCGTGTTGTACATATTACAGACTCATCTATGGTAGCCCCTCCAACAGTTCCTTTTGCCGTTTCATTGACAAGTCTCGTTTTATCACCGATTCCGATGAAGACGCCGAAACATGGTCGACATTGCCTGGTAGTCCCTATGGTCATGCTAATATGTATGCCCCGCTCCCAATGTATTGATCAGGTACTGCTGAGCGCAATCTTCAATATCACTCGACCAACCCCTTCTGAGTTGATATTCACCTGCTCCTCCATATCCAGGCCATTGCCATTGACATCTTTCAGCACCATCAGAAACTCGTCTACCCCACCTCCGACACCGAAATAGACCTTCTTCGCTGCTATAAGGGCTTTGCTCCGCACTCGTTCGGTTCCAGACCGGCGAAGCAAGGCAACCAAGGTCTCGGAGAAAGGCGCCAGCGATGCCGGAGAGTATATCGTCTCACTCGCAAGAATCAATGTTTTCCCTTTGCCCTGTCCGTAACTGGAGAATACCAAGTCAACAAAGGCGGGGGACCAGGCACCAGAAATGAACTCGAAGGTGATGTTCCGGCTTGCAAGATCTTTCTGGAAGCTCTCCAGGAGCTCAGGCGTGATGTCTAGTTCTTCTTCATTAGGCTGGTCCCCGGACGAAGTTGCCTCCCTTGAAGACGTATCCCTATGCGTGGCTATGTAGTTCCAAGTCAAAAGCAGATTCGGAAGCGTGACTAGGCGAAGGACGGCAGAATTGTAATCTGCGAGTGTGAAATGGATCTTGTTCGTCGCTGAGTCTGCTCGACACAATGCTTGCGCGAAGAGAGTCAGTGACGGTACCGCAGTCCCAGCACCAAGCTATTTTCCCTGTCAGCGTCCATTCGAGCAATAACTGCATCCCGAAGTAGGATTAAATGGACGAACTACGGACCTCAATAACATGCTGGTCCGCATCCTGATGAGACAGATCTTCACTAACAACCAATTTGGCAAGATCCAATGAGCACTCCCATGTCTTGAAGCCACCTTCGTAGAAATTGGGCTTGATATCCCCCTTCTCGAGCCCAGAGATAAGTTCCTCATTCTCATGGTCTGCACTGTCTTCAGCCATAAGCTGGGTTCGAATGTCGAAGACTTCTCGACGTGCAAGGGTGAACGTCCTCTCATCCCCATGAGGAGATGCATTGATTACGAGCTTGTTGTATGATATTTGCGATGGCAATGTAGAGATCTAGAATATCGTTAGATTGAGTATATGACCGACCATAGATTTCCCTTCGCCGTCCTTTTTTTCTCTCTCGCTCTCTCTCATCTAATCCGTTGCCTTCAAGCGCGATCCGTATCTGTAGGTATCCGACTACCTAGGAAGAAATCTAACAGAGTGATGGATAGAACTTACCCATTCTCCCATATCATGCTTCTGAGGCTCAATTAATCTTCCAGTAAGCTGGTTGCTAGCATGTTCCACAGCATTCATCTCTCTCTCATCAACACCATTGAGATCGTTCTCATCAATGTCGATGTCATCCCCGGAGAAACCGAAGCTGAACGCCGATGTCATTGTGTGCTTATAGAATTATTTCACTTCCAGGTATTCAATTGATAAGGTCTTCTCTACGCAAAGACTCAATTGATCTTGAACAAACTTTATCCGGCTGGTTTCTGGGAGAAGCTGAGCACAATATGACAACACTTTCATAGATTCTGAATACAGCAGGTGTGATTGTCTTTAGCAGACAATTATCAAAATAAGAATGACTGCCTTTGATTCGTGAAAACTGAAGAGTCACAGCGTCAAAATCTAGTTCTTGAAGACATGATCCAAAAATTTGCCGAGCAATATATTGATGACTAAGCACACCTACATAACTTAGTAACTATTAACGACTACGGAAATAGTACTCATGCCAGTTGCGAACCAGTAAGTGAAAAGGTAGTATGGTAGTCTATTATCATATCTCTATTTCAATGGAATATCTATGCTAAAATTCTGGCGTGGGAACTGGAAAGTCTAGCCCCAGCCCACAAATCGAAATCGCATTGACATGACAGTTTGTTGTCTTCGTATGTTCGAAAATCTATCATTTCAGCATTATAATGTCGTCTAAATCTTGATTCACTCGCATAACGGGAAACTCTAAGAAGATCCGTTCTCCACCTGCTGGCTAGCGAGAACAGCCTTCTCAAGAGCCTGGAGCGTATCGGCCTTGAGATCCTCTGCATCTTCAACACCGCAACTCATGCGGACGAGGTCATCGAAGACACCAGCTGCCTCACGCTGATCCTTAGGAATGCCGGCGTGCGTCATGCTCGAAGGAACTTCGCAAAGACTCTCCACGCCGCCCAAACTCTCGGCAAGAGTAAAGACCTTGGTGTATTGGCAGAAAAGATGAGCGGCCTTCTGGCCTCCCTTGATACGGAAGCTCAGCATACCGCCGCCCATTCCCTGGCGGTGCTGCTTGATAGCAATGGCCCGATGGGGATGTGAGTCAAGTCCCGGGTAGTTGACGGAGATAACATGAGGGGAGGACTCGAGAGCCTTGGCGACGACTGTAGCGTTGGTCGTCGCCTCGCGGGCACGCAGATGAAGGGTCTTGAGGCCACGGTGAGCGAGCCAGCAATCGAAAGGAGATGGAACGGCTCCAATGGCGTTCTGCAGGAATGTGAGACGCTCCTTCAGACTGTCAGAGTTGAAGGCTGCGACGCCCATGAGAACATCCTATATTTGGTCAGTAAGCTGCGTTACCTGAAGGAGATGTGCTACAACGTACTGAATGACCGTTGATGTACTTAGTGACCGAGTGCACGACGATATCGGCTCCGTGGTCCAACGGATTCTGGACATAGGGACTCATGAAGGTGTTGTCAACCACCACAATAATACCATGCCGATGCGCCACGGCTGCTACATTGCGAATGTCGACCAAGCCAAGTGTGGGGTTGGATGGGGTCTCAATCCAGACCAGCTTGGTCTCGTTGGGTCGAATCAATTCCTCCACGTCAACTTCAATGCAAGGTGAGAATGTTACATGAACACCGTGGGCCGAGGCGACCTTTGTGAAGTATCTGTGGGTTCCGCCATACACATCGGACACCGAGACGACGTGAGAGCCTGCAGCTAGGGACTGAAGGATGGTAGCGGTGGTCGCCGAACCGGATGAGAAGGCCAGTGCGTATTTTGCGTGTTCGAGGGCCGCAACAGCCTGCTCAAAGTTATCCCTAAGAAACGTTAGCGCCTATACATTCGCACGATCATCTCAATTGTCTCCCAAGGCAGTCACCAACCGGTTTGGGTTCGAGCTTCTGGTATACTCATAGAGACCAACGGGGTTACCGACGCTGGTTTGCGCAAATGTTGTGGAAAGTGAAATCTATGTTAATGGTTAGTTCTTATCTTTCTCCATAAGTGGCGATGGATGCAATGCAATCCATTTGAACTCACAGGAGCAATGACCGCGCCAGTGGTGGGATCATGAGGCGCTCCAGCGTGGACAGCTAAAGTGCCAAAGCGGCGGTCCTGTGCAGCTGCGCCATTCTGAGAGGGGCCGTTGGAGGATGCAGTCATTGTGAACTGTCAACGAGGTTGAAGACGATTCGAGGGGTATATAAAAATCAGGGGGAGAAAAGAGAGGAGGAGAGAAGGAATATAGATGGATCAAATTTTATCGATAACCGATTTATTCGATCTAGTCTAGTTATCAGGGACTGAAAGAAACAATCAGAGGAGATGGATGTATGATCACTCCAAAAAAATCCAATGAGGCGCCGCTCCAGCGTCCTCGTGTTTATAAGAGTCAGCAATTGACAATTAATAATAACAGAAAACAATTGATAGACTGGAATGTGCGACGGAGAAACACAGACTCATCAATGATTGATTACAATTACTCTCCTGCACGTCGGACTCCGATTTTTCTTTCTGAAACTCTCTTCGAATTTCTTTTACGTTGCACTGCAGAGCCACAGGGCGGATCTTGTCTCCATCTGGACCAGACGTTTCCGGCACTAACCGAGCATGTAGATTCAATTGATAATCAGATCCAGGACAACATGGATCTTGCAGATATACTCCGTATCGTCCGGATAGATTTTAGGTAGGTGTGTTGGAACTTGGTTGCTGACAAGAAGAAGATGCCTGCAGCGATGTTTCGTGTGTCTGCAGAGATTGTCTCTATCCTTCAGTCTGAAAAATCATCATCACAATCTACAACTAGTTACTTAGTAGTTATTATCCCCTGATGACAAATGGGCTTGAAGATGGTAAGCTTATTCTCCGTGTTCGTGGAACATGCTGTCATACATTCCAATGAGGTGATTGACGGTACAACTTTACTCTACATAAGTACCTTAGTACATTTTCATCTGGATCGCGTCATTCTGAAACTTTTGTAATCATTTCTTGACTATTATCTCATGTTTATCATGCGACGGGCAATACGTTCAGTACTGCCCTGCCCTCTATTCTAGCAACGCCATCGATGGGAATCATTTATTAACTCCAATTCCAGCCCATTGTATCATCCAGCGTGTACATAAAGACAACGTAAAATGACATGGGAAATACCCCGATTAAATCAACTTTTTCATCACCACCAGGACACAGGTCCCAAACCAGCCATTTGCATCGAGCCCTGAGTTTTCGTTTTCGGTCAGTTGAATGAGAGTCCATCAGAAATCAAAACGCGAGGGCACATACTATGATGGAGTATGGAGGCTTTCGTTCAATAACTGCGCCGTCACCTAGATCTGGGGCATTGGGAATCTGGTCATGCCATTCCTCCATCTCAACTCTGAAACGGACAATTTCTCCTATGTCGAAGTAGAATGTCGAGCCATCTTCGTTGTCCCAAACCCACACCTGATCGGCAATGTCACTATTTTCTGGTGAGCCAATGTGTACTTGCGACAGTCCAGAAAAAGACGGTTGCTTACAATCGAGCACCGTCTAATAGAAGATCCGGGGGAATGAGGATATCGTTGAAAAATTCTACACCAACTGTTTTTGTATTAGCATGAGCATAGTGACCGCGAGCTTGAGGCAGTTGCATACTCTTAATCCCTTGCTGAGTAGCACTAGAGATCTTGCCTAGTAGGATCTCTCCTTTAAACGGCCGGAAGACAATGAGCCGGAATTTCACTATAGAGAATCAGTAAAGCAGTGATCTTCACACGTAAAATCCTTCCAGACATACCGTTTACATTGACCAAGCCAGTGCCATGACCTATTAAACCATCCGATGATTCTAACAAGTCGTAGAAGCCAATGCAAAGGCCAATTTTTTGAATGACCTGCACAAGCGAACCATGTCAGTCAAGGTGACTGCCACATCGAGCAGGGTGACTTCGTCGTACTTTATTTGCATACTTTTCGTTGATATTGTCCTCTATTGCGACAGCACTGTACTTGGAGAAGTCTTCAGGAGAGATCTGGATGAGATCTGAGACGGTCGTCTGCCTCGCTGCAGTCAGCTTGTCTGGTCACGACGAGATAAATTCAGATCGATCAAGGACGTCTCTCAACTGACAAGAATGAACATTTCGAATATGTTACAAAGGAGAGAGGTATCGCATGAGCAGTAATAAGATAGGTAGTTTCTATTTCCACGCAGTCGTACAGAGGATTAGCGGCAAGACAAAACTTGCATTCTAACAGTCTAGGACGCAGAAACGGCCCCTTCTGAGTTATGCTTCTAGTAATCACAGATTCATGACATTATAAAAGTGTATTTGAATCTGCGTCAAAAGAAGTCAAACGATCGATCGCCAATCGCCTCGACCAATCGCAGGGTGCGGATCCGGCCTGGCTTCTCTTGAATTTTTCCTTCTGGGTTGACAGCCAGAGCCTACCACGTGATCTGTCCACTGTGCCTACTCGGACTTTACAGTGACAGTTCGGATTTCGGAACGGAACAACAACTTTGGAGCTTCGGTGCTAAAGAGGCGATCAGCCGAACCAGAAGTGATCCGAGGTTTTTCTCAGGTCCCCAGGATGGCGTGAAAGGATGGCGTTGATGCTGTCACTCATTCGAGGGTCTGCAGAGATCTTCCCGCAATGAGCTCCCAGGGATTCTCATTTCCTCCCCCTCCTCCTCCCCCTCCTTCTCAGCAACAGCAGCAACCTCAATCAGCTTTTCCGTCTGTTCCTCCACAGTATGGTTACGGTTCTTATGGTCAACGAGGTGGACGAGGTGCCGGAGGGCACAATAGAGGTCGCGGCAGAGGATTCGGGAATCGAGGAGGTCGGGGAGGCTCCTTTGTTCCTCACCATGCCAACCGTACCCCGACCTATTCCTCGACTACACCGTCTTCTTTCGGTTATGGGTCGATAAACTATACCGGGTTTACACCTCAATCTCATCCTACTGTCTCCCGCAATATTCCAACGCCCCAGATTACGCCTTCGGGGTCGCCAGGTTTCCAACACCAGTCCAACACCACCTCGTATGCTCCCCCACAACAATTTTCACAGCCGCCAGCAGCTCTGGGATCTCCGTATCAGCCGCAATCTAGCTATGATGCAGCTTACGCACCCCCAAATGCGCAATCGGGTCCTACATACCCTTCTGTCGTGCATTCGACTCAACATGTCCCTCAACCCATACAAGCACCGATGATGGGTCCTCCAATGCGTTGGGGTTTTGAGATGTCATCGCCTACAGGACCATTTGCTAGTCCTCAGCATAGCAATCAATGGGCGCCGCGGCAATCTTCTACACATCAGAATCAACCCTCCTTTGGTGGAAACTCAATGAAGTATGGTGGAAAGCGTGATCATGCGTCGGCATTTGGAGGAAAACCGCAATCAGTTGCACCTCGCGTTCCTGCACCGCCTCCGGTCCCAAGCTTCGGCAACCCTCTGCCTGTGAAACCTCCTCCGGCAGCTGATGCTGCACAAAAACTGAGAAAAAAGAAAAGAAAACACAACCAGTTAGGGCTCACGCCCAAAACTGAGGATCATGAATCGAGTGAGGAGGAAGACGACGTGGATGAAGAATCCAAGCTGGCGCCTGCCGGTGCTGGTGCTACAGCGCCGTTGCGATTCACCTATAGAGGACGGACTTCCACTCTTCAGTCAACCACAGACATTGCCGCATGGATTGAGGAACGGAAGAAACGATTTCCGACGCAAGCAAAGGTTGAGGAGAAGAAAAAAGCCATGGATGAGGCTAAGAAAGCCCGTGAGGAAGCTCTGAACAAGAAGAAGCTTGAGAGGCAGGAGCAAAGACGAGCCCAGAAGGTCGCATCGAAACCTGATGACAAGCCAGAGAGCGCCATTGATCCGGCGGATGCAGCTGCCAAGGCGAAACGAAAAGCTGACAAGCTTCAACGCAAGCTGCTGAAGGAGCAGGAACGGGTAGCAAAAGTGGAGGCGGATGCCGAGCGGGCTCGGCTCAAAGTTGAAAAGTTGCAGAAAGTGGCCATGGAAGCTCGCAGAGGGTCAGAGTCTGCCACACAGAAAACCAAATCTCAAGCTCTCGTCGCTGCAGAGAAGGCGGACACAGAATCTGCTCAGAAAGCGCAGATACTCGGCTCCAAGGACAGCGACTCGGATACTGTGGCTGTCCCTGGCGAGAGTGCTGTCGCACCCATGGCCTCCAAGATACTGGTAACAAAGATGAAACCCGGTGGAGAGAGTCAGAAGGAGGAATCCGTCGCGTCATCTTCCGATGATTCGGACGGCAGTGACTGGACATCGTCAAGCGGGTCTGACATCTCCTCTTCGGATTCCGATGACGAGAGCGATGATGATTCGGCACCCGAAGAAGCGTCTTCTCGCCGTGAGGGGCCGGAGCGGGTAGCACCACCGCCTCGAATAAACAAGAAGAAAGTGTGTCACCATTTCGCTAGCCGTGGGCGCTGCTTGCACGGAGACAAGTGCCGTTTTCTGCATGAGTTGCCGGAACGAGGCGTCAAAACGAAACCTGTAGAGAAGAAAGGACGGAGGGGACTCTTCCAAGCCGTAAGTATCCTCGGACTTTAACAAAGAAGGAGAATGGCCTTCTTTCGCCTGTTTAAACACTAACACGCGAATTACTAGCTGATCGAACGCCAAAAAGAAGACGAGGATCGGAAAGCGATGGAAGTGATCGTATGGCTGGGAGAGAACGGATTTCTCGATGCTTCAGAGGCCAATGAAAGGGCGACTGGACACTCCCATACTGATGGGAGCAAAGATGAGGACCAAGTCCCTCAGGAGATGAATTACACAGTTGCTGCTGCCTAGGTGGTGATAGAGATGGTTCTATATAACGTCGGCGCCGTGTACATAAAATCTGCGTAGGTATTGGCTTCAGAACCAAATAGAGCCTTGACTCTTTCAGCCTGTGCAGTCAGATTGTCGCAGCGAAGGAACGCCAGACTTCAAAGTTGACCAAAAAGAAGTTTATCAACGATTTCTGGTCAAAGTAGCCTCGATCCCTAGACATTTCCTCTCACAGGGATACCTCATGGACTCTGCACCGTCTCTTAATACCCTTACCGTTTCATAACTTATTTGACGATTGTAAGGTAAGGTACGGAGTAAGGTACTATGTACTGAAAGTCATGTTACAGAAAGGATTAATACCAAATCTCTGTCTGGAGACCTTAGTGTGGTACTGTAGGTACCTGATGATTGACTAAACACCTCGGTCGCACAAGGGACGTAAGTAACAGAGGATGTACCTGGACGCCTTGAAGATTTATTTTCACATTTTCGCATGTTACATTGAAATCACCATAGGAATTAAGAATAATAAGATCACCCAAAGTTCCGATTCCTCGGTGCTAGGTATCTTCCTTCATGATGACCAAAAATAAATGATCATAAGTCAGTCATCTTTCGTGAACCAGAGTTTGATAGGATTATTCTTAGCAGCACATATCAAACTCAGTTCCTCCGCTTCTCAAGGACCCTTGGATTCCATGGCTCATTGCCACACCACACCATCAAGAGTCCAAGACTCTATCTCCTTTGGCTTTGCGACCTTAGCCCCAAAGTCCCGACCGGGCTTTCGCCGGGATTACTGGATCATCTCAACCACTTATTTGGCTAAGCGAATGACTACGACTGAATTGGTCTAGCTGAACAGGCATCTTTTCCCAGAGAGGGACTGACTAAGACTGGCTGGGATTAGCCTCCACGATGGCGTTAATTGCCCATTGATTTATTATTATGATTTTGCCTCTTCCATTCGGGGGTTCTGTTGATAAGATCGTCTTATTGGCTCTAACTCAGGGTGACTGGCTCGTGGCGTCCTCACTACTGTACTGGCGCAAAATCTCATTCCTGCTAGGTACCAGTACCTATCTAGGTACCTTAGCCTAGTGAGATGATTTAACCAGGTTCCTTGGACCTTGAGGGGTGTAGCGGAGGGTTACGGTAGGTAAGGTAGGTAGCCTCCTCTTAGTCTAGTCTAGTTCTTACTGTTCATATTCCTCGCTCCTCCTCCCTTCTCGCCCTCTTCTCCTCTTTCTTCCCTTTTTCTCCTTCCTCCCTCCAGTCGATCGTTGCATCATACTCGTCTTTCTGTCTGTCTTTTCCCCCAGTCAGAGTCCATTCTTTTCATTATTGAATATATTCCAACTCAGGATCCCTTCGTTCAATCTTCTTGTGGAATATTTTATCTTATCCCCCACTTCGCTACCTCTTTCGGATAATCTATATATAATCCAAGCGTCTACAAAAGTCTATACCTTAGTCAACATGCGTTCCATCATCTTCCTGTCTCTCAGCGCTCTCGCCGCCGTCGCAGCTGCGGCTTCCAAGGCCAATCCTTTCAATATTCCCGCCAATGGTTACCAGTTCACCGCTGGTGAGGCCACTACTCTGTCCTGGGAGCCTACCACCAGTGGAACTGTCACTCTCAAGCTTCAATGGGGCACCGTCTTCACTGGTTCCTCTGGCTCAACCATTGTCTGTAAGTGTCTCAAATTGAAACGAGTCTGTGGAGCCCTGCGCATCTGCTAACGTACCCTAGCAAGCATTCCCAATTCTGGAAGCTACACCTGGGATGTTCCTTCTGACATTGCTGCTCGGCCTGATTACACCATTGAGATCGTTTCCGATGAGGACACCACCGAAACTAACTACTTGAACCGTTTCACAGTTGCAGGAGCTACTGGCATTGCGTCGAGCTCCACGGCTTCTGCGACTACCACTAAGACGAAGACCGCCTCTACCACGTCCACCGCGACCACTACTAGCGGAACTCCCTCCACCATGACCACTGTGACTTCGACTACTGCTTCTACCTCCAGCAGCTCTTCGACCACCAGCAGCAGCTCGTCCACCACTGAAGCTTCGACTACCACCCAGGCTTCTAGCACGAGCTCCGCCACTGCCTCACCTACCACGGTCCCCAACGCCAATGGCGGTGTCATCAACCGGATCTCCGGTGGCATGATGGCCCTCGTCATGGGTGTCATTGCGTTCATGTAAGCAGCATATGTTGCCAGCATTCTGGCAGTGAGTCACATCACTGCGATCGGGTTCGATACGCTCGAGTATATAGCTTTTGGCGTGTTCTTTTCCTTTCTTTGTACACCTGCTTGGGCTCAAATATGGTTGGATTGCCGTTTCTGGGTAACTACATTTTGTTCTTGGGCTGCGGATGAAAAGGCGTAACATCCTTTTCCGTGTCCGATTCTCTCTATTCCGCTTGGGCGATGCTTGGGGATCCATGTGATCGCGTTACCTAATCGTCATTATTCTTTGTTGAGACGAATGACTCTGGTCTGTTCTGGCACACTTTCTGTATGGTATGTAGATATGTTTACATTGTAATGAATGACTTGTTTTGGCCTGTAAGAAACCATGAGTAAACAGGAGGGTCTTGTATAATCATCTGCATATCCTGGCTTTCGGGCCCATTCAAGAGACATGGAGGCTCTGCTATAGCCGACGATCTGCTGGAGCTACTATAGCGGGGAATCGTTCAATAGTCTGTCGCATATTGTTGGTAATTGTATGATATAAGCCCAATACATTTCAGGATCGAACTGATTCTGAATCTCCATTTTTCCCATTTATTTCTGTCGCAGATCAGATGGCTGTGGGTCTTTGTCCGAAATGACCATTAGCAGAGTGGACTATGATAGTATCTGAGCGGACGAAAGCCCCCCGGCTGATGACCTTTCCCCCTTAAAGCAGCAGCCTTAGGTTAGGTTGTTTTCCAGGGTTCTGATCACAGCGGCACAGCGGCACTGACTGAAACAAAAACAACATAAAGAAACTAATGGCCTATTTGGAACAATAAAAGGGTGAATGTGAAAGTCCCAAGCAAAGAAGTATCACAAACCCAGATAGTGATAACCATCTTCAATCATTATTGTGATGAAATGGGTCAGCGATTGCATTACAGACTTGGGCTAAATTTATGAATGAATGGCGGAGATGAATCTACATAAGGTACTCCGTAGTCCGTACTAGGCTACCTCGGATTCTAGGGTCCAAGTCGAGCGAACTTCCACAGGCCATACGGACTTGAAATGTCGATGTCTGCTGAGGCCATGTGTCTACTCTGGCAGTTTTTCGAGTATCTTGGTGAGATTGTCATGGAGTCATTATGCATGAGTAGGTTCTGCCTAGAAAGATCAGTCTACATTATGCATGTAGACTTCACTTCACATGTGCTGACGAAGTACTGCTTCGAGCCTTCGACTCTGCTGTGCGACTTTGTGTGTCAGGAGTTTGTACCAGGTATCGACATGATGTATTTTACAGATACTTGAATTGTATACATCTTACCATACCGTTTGTACTGAAAGTACGGAGTACCCCGGCGCTGTACGCTATGTTAAACCTCCAGGGAGAAATCATCAACTTGTTATGTCCGAGGCCAGGAGAACGTTCAATGATAAAGCCGAGTCTCCATCCACTACCAACTGATCGCGTGGACTTCTCCAGGCTCCGTACGGAGTAGTATTTGGTGATATCACGGAAACGGTTCTCTTAGACAGTGATGACTGTTGTGCGTTGTGACTGGATTGTCTAGTCAACTGCATGTTACTACATACGTACTCATATGATGATATGAGGCGGTGGGAATAGCACGTGGAGATGACAGCATTCCTTCTGTCGTGCAGCATGCCACGGTTGATCGAGGTTTATTTCTTCCGCTTTGGGTAAAAATAAAAAAGCTTATTGCTCATCAATTCGGATTGAACATTAAGAATGCTAATGATGTCGCTAACAACACAGCAGGAGCACAGCCCCCAAGGTGCTCTTTGAACTATCTGAAACAGGAAGATAAACTGACCGGAAAAAGCTGGCCCAAAAGGAGCATGGCCCCATCCATAATGCGGATCGAAGAGAAAAGAAAAGGCAGTTTTACGCGGCAAGCCATTGAGGAGACACTCGCTTGATGAACTTCATGAACTTGAAGAACCCGACGGCATACTCGACATTACCGTGAGGATCAACTGTTCGCTCTGGAAAGGCTATACCAGCACCATATAAGCCCTTAACGAGCCGTCCATGTTGATCGTAGAATCCCCCGGCTTCATGATCAAAGTCCGGCTCCAATGGCGAACCATTCACAGAAAGCTCTGGCAGCGGGTCCCGAGCGAAGCCAATGGCCTGAACAATGTGAGTGCAGAAGGGTAGCTGCAGCTTAAACTGTGCCATCTCTTTACCACTGCTGCAATCAACCTTGGTGATGAAACGACCTGCCTCGGAGGTCGGTAAAACCCCATCTTCGAGCTGCTGGCGGGCGAAGTCCGCAGCGAGACCCTTGAGACCGGTGTTGTCCCGGAGGATCCAGCCGTCCATGTACTCGGCGTACCGAAGAGGATGCCGGGTAAACCATTTGACGCGGAGCTGGGGATGAGAACTGCGGGCCAAATCTACCAAGTTGAGCAGAGCTAGAATGGCACTATGAGAAGCCCCCACGACTGCGATGGTCAAGGGTGTGTTTCGGGGAAGGTACGAGGCGAGTTCACTGGGTTTCAACACAATATCAAGGTCCAGCCTTTGAATGTTGTGCCCAGGAACAGGGATCGGAGCGGTCGTCGGTGAAGATCCCGTACACAGGATGAGTTTAGGTGTCTGGACTTCAAACTCGTCGGACGATCCGTGACTTTTGATCCGTACTGTCCAGGAAGAAGTCTATGGAGCGGGGAATCGAAAAGCATTAGCAAACTATCCAGTTTCTCTCTCATGTCGGCCTCCTGTGGTAGTTCGATGTGGAATCTCAAACTAACATTTTCCGCCAGATTGGCAGCAACAACATAACCCCGGCATTGAATCACTCGATTCAGTTTCACAATGCCCTCCGTCAGGGCCTGAACCATCTCTGCACCATGCCGTAACTGACACGTTTGATCTTGGTCAAGTTTGGCTAGAGTCGTGAAAGCATTGGGTATGCGAGTACTACTGATGACCGCACGGAATGGCTGGACGCCCGTGGCATACGCTTGGAAGAAGGAGACTTTGGTGTTGCTGGACAGAACCCCGAACAGTCAGCCATGAGAGTTCCTCCTCCGAAGCTTGAACGGTTTCTCAAGCGCGTAAGAAGCTGGAGGCAGTAGTGCTCACCTAGGAACCTCGCGGTATTTCCTGCCCACACGTCCGGCCTGAAAGTAGGGATCAACCCAGGCAATTTTCCCACCAAGCTGTCTCTCCAGGAGATTTCCAACCGCGGCCAGACCGGCAGGACCGGCTCCCACGACAACCGCAGCACATTTCTGAGGCGGATTCATTATTGTTCGATGATTTGAAGATATAGATGCACAGAGCTTTGTAAATGAAATTTTATGGGACAACTCTGGAATGCCTCATGAAGATATCTCATGGGAGGGAGATATTGTAGGACCACAGGGGGAAGCTGCAATTTAGTAGGGATTCTTCCAGATGGTCAGAATCAGAAACCGGTGTAATTCTCGGTGAAAACAGCTGTTGAGCGTCGTCACACCTTCCAGGGGAAAGAGGGGGAGCCCGATTAAGAGATATATCGGGAAACGGCGAGCAAAGAGACGCAGGAACAGCGAACAATGAAACCGCATTCCATGTGCTTGGCAAGATTCACTGTTTACCGCTCCTCCAGTCCATTGATATAGGGATGAGCAACGAAGACGGCTCGAAAGCCCCAAATCAGGCATCTCGGACGAGAGAACACATGATGCAGACGGAATTGGCCGTCCATAGAGAGCAAAGAAGGCCACTCATCATGCGGTGATAACAGCCTTTGGGATACTGGGATGCTCCATTCCCATCACTCACACTCTCCCCTGTCTCATTGACTCAGATATCGAAAGCCCGGGCATAGATGAGCAATCGCCGACTCAAACTGACTGCTGAGTGGTTGAACTATGATGGTTGCGCAACTGACGCAGCAAGCCCCACTTTGACCTTGCGAGTGAATCGCCGAGGCGCTTTCCGTCGGCTCAGGCAAGAGATTGTCATGGGGCGGTGTTCTCGTCGTCGCCCTTCATCAAAGGGACAACGAGGGATCTAAGGCGGTTCATGACCGTCACAAGTTAAACGGACACTGATCTCATTATTCACAATGGAAAAGAACAGGTCCCGAAGGTGCCGGTAGCGATGGAGGATGGAGAGTCCTTATATTCAAGCACTTGAGAAACATGCACTGGCGGTCTTGGCGCGATTGCGTGATTTCAACCGAGAATGAGGCCATTGCTGTTTGCCTGATTGGGAAGGCTGCTGATATCTCAAGCGTCTGCAGAAAAATGCGGGGTGAGGTTAGAGTAACTGGTCACTACTATTGGCCAGCTATCTTAAGATTTGATCGAGTGACTCCTCGTTGGATTTGTGTCATTTCGCCGATACTCAACATTAACATATGTTGTTGGCTTGCTGCTGTCGTCTCTTTGGAAGCTGCTGGAGCTAATGGCTATTGTAAGCTACGGAGAGCTCGTGACACGGTCTTAGTTTGAACTTCGAACACAGAAAACGAGATGAATGTACACTCGCGATATCATTACTATACGGCCCAGAATACCCGAACAGAAATGCATTCGACATGGTTTGACCATCCTGGAAATCTTGCTCGTCCCCAGACGGCAATGGAGTCTCCCACACCCAAGGTCCGGACTATATTTCCATCCAATGTCGCCCGACCACGACCTTGCAAACGCTCAATCTCCTCTGCGTCAGCAGATTCAGCTTGGACGTTGTCAAGGTAGTGCCAAGTGATTGTATAGTCTTGTGTCTGTGATACTGCAGTCTTGTTCATCTGAAGTTTGCCAGGGCCGGGCAAGAAATGTGCGTGCCGAGGACCGATCGGTTCTTGACTCTCCCCTTGGCCAGTGGGCTCGGCGGACACTTGCGAATCCGCTTGGTTGCTGCCCTTTTGAGGTATTGCGTGTATGATCTCAACATCGAACCAGGTATATGACCCATCGTAGGGGCTTTCACCTCTAGGACCGCCACCCCAGCCCTGGTCATGGGACGAGATCGTGAAAACAATCTTGCGACAAGGG